GATATCATTATATCGTGACATCACAGTAGGCCTGTTCGTTAGGATTTTTGACAAATAAATTTAATAATGACATGCCGACAAAAATATTGAAAATTTATTAACGAAGCCAGTTTTGAGGATTCCGACAATGAATCAAATGATCTGAAGAACAACAATTAAAAGTCGAAGAAGAGACTCTCATTATTTAGAGTCACGTATAGTTGCCTGGCAAAACTCATTTTAGCAAATGGAAAAAGAAACCCTATATTTCGACGGATTTTTTAATAAGACTTAATAAATTTTTGACTTTTGACGGGATTTTATTATGGTTTCGAAATTCTACGTTTTGCCAATAAGATTTATTATAGTTTTTCCAGTGACCCCGTCGAAATCCGAGAGTTTGTCAGGCGACTATAGTTGTTATAATACATTATTCAAATAAAAAAATTCTTAAAATTTGTCAATTATAATCTCGAGAAATTTATAAACCTTTTCGTTATGAGCCAAATGGACTGTCATTTAAATAGTTAAATCAATCTGGACTTATTATTTTTAATGTAAACGACAGTGATCGAATGATATAAAGAACGAAACATCCGTGAGTCTTAGCTAGCTGTAGATTAAGCCATAGAACATGGAAAAACTTCCATTAATCAACTCTTATTCTTTTATAAAATTCTTTCCTTCATGATAACAGATCGCTTAAATTCTCTTGAATTTCTAGAGGAATGTGAGAATTAGACTAAAATAGGTACGTAATTATCACTTATAATCTTAATAAGGATCAATAAAATTATACAAATAAACATTATTTTCAGTGAATTTGGGCGCAATCGTAAAGGCCTATATATTTGGTCTCCTTTATAAATCAACTAAACAACCAGCCTTTTTTTCTTTAAACTAAATTTTTGGGGTAGAATTTATGAAGAATTCCGTTTCATTAATTCCGTATTATTTATATAAGTTGTAAATTACCATTTAAAGTTATCTAAAAACGTGTTCTTTTTATCTGATGGAAACGGGGATGAACTTGGTATTTATTAACTTGCGATACGTTCATTTCGTTGTACTGGAATGTTGAAATCTTACTTTATTCAATAAAGTTAAATTAGTTCTCGTAACATTACAAGGAATAGTTATAATAGAACCTAAATATTGCATGAAAAAGACAAATTCCAATATTGGGCAATTTTATCTTTTTTTGGAAACAAAACAATCTCTTAATTTTTTATACTCAGCTTAGCAAGGTACAAGGTTCGCTTAAAAGTTCTTCAAATGTCCTTACATTGCACTTGGGTTATTAAAATTCCCATTTAAAATATTTTTTTGACTTTTTTTTTGTTGATTTAGATGGAAATTTCTATTTTCAGAAAACAATTACAGTATATTTTTGGTAATCATTATAAATATTCCCTCTATTTATTAAATACAATATTAAATTAAACCTGAGAAAATGACTATTGACAGTCTTGATTTTTCTATCGATCCTTTGTCTAATTCTCAACTTAAGAACGAATCATACAAGTCTTCAAACGACGACTATTTCGCTTTTGATAACGTCTCATTGGGGTGTGTTGTCAGCATAGTTTAATAAAACTATATCAAGTCCTATAGTAATTTTTACTATTGAATTTTCCGAAAACTGTTATTAATATTGTATATCATAAATTATTTAATTAAATATAATACTGATAAGAATTCTAACGAATAAGTATTAATTTAATACAAATTACAGTTTTAATTATTAGCAAATTATTTGTTAAAAAGTTTTGATGCTATATCAGGTCCAGATTGCTGGAGTTGTACTTCCTGAAGTGGAGCTTTTCTTGTTTCAACTCTTTGTTTCCGCACTTTTTTTAATCCGCTATGGTGGCTATCACCTATAAACCGCACTAGTCCACCCTAGTATCGCCAGAAAAATTTTTCACCCCTGGCCGGCATTACGAAATTATGAAATTAGCCATGTGACGAATATGGCGTGACATATAGGTTTTTAAACCGAAAAAATTCTAAGTTCCTGGAATATATAGTAAAAATTGAAAACTTGAGAGTGTGACATGGGTGACAAATTATTGAGGTCACGTGGAGGCGAAAAAATTTTCTGACAATACTGGGAAAGATGTGATTTAATATTATTTACGTGACTTTGCATTTTTCACGTTGTGAAATTTATAGATAATTTTTTATTATTTCATTTTATTTAATTCTACCAATACATATTCAGAAATACATCAGTGAGATTTATACTTTTTAGTAGCATATTTTACCAACTTACTGGTAATTCCTTTCCTATACAAATCTATATAGTGCTAAGTCTTCCTAATAAATCTTTTAATTGTAATTATATTAACAGATTCCAAGGCTGCAGGAATAACCTGCTGCAAGTCTTTTCAAGAATAGTTACAGTTTTCTCGAGTATACCTTTTTGCTACCTTCTAATATCATTTAATATAATTTAATTCGCAATAAAACTTTAGGTAAAAAATACACTTATGCCTAGCTTCTAATATTACTTCTTCCAAGGTAATTTTTTAAGACAGAAAATCCTGTTGTAATGAAATAATTCTTCTTACACAACAGTCTATTCAATTTATGTCATTTATCTTATCCTTACATAACTGATAATCAGTATTTAAACTATCTTTTCACAATTCACGCTTGATTAACATCTGTTTCATTTCTTTTAGTTCATTATTTTCATTAACTATTAATTGATACTGATTATTTTATTCAAAAAATGTGTATTTTATTTTTAGTTATTTGCCACTGAGTTTTAGATTCATCCTACTTATCACAAGTGCATTAGACTTATATGCTACATGATTTGAACTGTTATCAGACACAAATAAGGTAATATAGTTTGAAAAAATTATTTCAAAAATTGGTATAGCCTTCATTTTTACTTGTTCAACTAAATGCTTATTTGTCTAGTATCCTTTCTGATATTTTTTTGGTTGAAGATATACCTGAGCTTCTTTAGATATGAAAGAACTTCTTGGCATTGCTATGAATTCAATTAAGTTAATTACATTCTTTTATAAGAAATTCACTAACCATAATAGAGTATTTGTTTTTCTTTTTATATAATGATAATTTGCTAAATTTTGCCTATATGCCTTATTTTCTATTATTAGAGTAAAATATACACTCATCATGCGTTACTAAAATTATTTTCTTTTTATCAGATCCTAATGTTAGGAGAATCTGTTCTATATTTTCATCCTTATATTTTATCATGCTTTTTTCATAACTATAAATCTTATTTAAGAAACTTTGTTGATATTTTACAACGTCAGAATGTTTGTGACCATTATAATATATATCTATTTTAAAATAAATGTAAGTTAATTATTTAGTTTAATAAATTTTTTATTATTTAATATTAATTTATCTTTACATTGTTTTTGTATCTGAAAAAATATCTGAACACATTTAGCTAGCGTGAAGCAGTTGCTATATTTATAATTTTTTTCTTATTATTCCTGAATTAATAAGCAAGTTTTATTCAACAAATTTCTTGAACTTTAGCAGAATAGTTATTTCACTCTGAAATCGAATCCATATATTGCATTTTTTCACTATGTCTTTATCATTAATCAACTGTACTGTTTTTTAATATTTACCTTAATAGCTTATTAGAAGCTAGTTATATTGAAGCTAATAATTTGCCTAATATCAGATAGTTCTTATTCTATATAGAGCACTTTCAATAAAAACCACCTGTGTAATCTCTATACTGGCTTTTTGCTTTCCCTTTCCATTATTATTTAATCTGTTTAAATACTCAAAAATAGCTCTTTTTTTGTTATATTCGATTACTATTAATAATTATTGCTATTCTTTAAGTTTCTTTTTTAATTATTTGATTCTTTCATTTAAATTAAGTTGATTGTCTTGTTCATTTTTTGATTTATTTAAAATCTCATCAAAGTCATTTGAAACTAAACTTTTATTTAAATATATTATTATTATGTGATTTTTTTTGCAGATTTTATAAAAGAACCATTTAGCTCATATTTATTAAAATAAGTTAATTTCTTAGTTTTTTCAGTAAAGTAAGATCCACACTTTTTTTTCTAAATACGCATAATTTGACCAAACTAACTTAACTTTAACTTCTTTTTTATTTGATAAACTATTATTTAAACTATCATTATGATTATTCTAATTATTATCATGATTATTCTAACTATTATCATAATTATCTTAACTACTATTTTCATCATTTTTCCAATTATCAATGATTTGTACTTTTTTGCAAACCTTCTGTTACTTTTTCATTTTATTCTTTTATATTAATTTTTCTTTTCAATAAGTGTGTCATGATCATACATATGAGAAAATAAATTATGATTATCATATGAAAAATCTTTATCATATGAAAATACATTTATCATATAAAAGTACATTTATTACATAAAATATTATCTAAATTTCATATATAAATTACCCGATTTTCAGTCTAAAATTTGCCTATTAGTATATAGATCATATAAGAAATTACCTAATTTTAAACCAAAATAAATCAAAATTTTATATAATATTTTATAAAACTAAACTGATAAAAATGTTCAGCTTATTCTAATTTATTATTTTATCAGTTTAAATTTATATTTTATTACCTTATTCTTTACCTATAAAATTTTAGAGTTATACATTATTACTGCAGTTTATAGATAATAGCTATTATGGTCAAATCCTCTTTTGAAATCTTATTTGATGATAAATGAAGCTTAAACTGTTTTATTTATAATGACATATTTGTATACATTTTCAGATCTAGTTTATTGAAAAGACTTTCAACTTATTATTAATGTATAATAATATAATAAATATGATTTTTAATGAAATTATAAATATTAGAAAAATGATACAATAATGGACTATCACAAATGCAGAATTGAGTAAATTCTTCAAGAAAATTGCTATTTTGATATAGTAATTTACTTAAACTAAAGTCATTTGTAATTCCATTATTTTTATCACCTTTTAAATTCTAAGCAAATTGCAATTTTAAATCAAAAGATGAAGAAATCTAAGGTTTTTAGAGAATAACATTATAAAAGCTAGATGCAAATGATTGTGCATTATTCTCTCTAAGCTGACAAACTGCCAATGGTAAATGAAGATTTGATGAAAATCATTTTTAAAAAGATTCTAAAGTTTTGTAATTCTATACTCTAAACCGTTAAAGAGAATCTCAAAATTTTTATTAGATAACAAATCCATTTTCTTCAAAAGTTAATCTAAAAAAATATGTCAAAGTTGCTAGTAAGGTTTTGAATAAATCCATACTATTCAAAAACTTTATCAGGCATTTCATAAGTACGTCATCCTAGAAGTAATGCAATTAATTATCTATCTTCATATAATCATGAAATATTATCTTATCTTACTATAAATTGCATTAGAGGTTCATAAAAATGCTTAGCAAAGTTAACTAAACATTTAACTTAAATATTAAATTTTGGATTAGCAAGCCAAGATTTAAAAATATACCAATCATTAAGGTAAGATTTAGATGTTTTTTCATAGTTTTTTAATTCATTAATAAACCAATCTATAAATTTAATAAAAGCAGAATGACGATTAAGATACTGCTTAGCTGTTTGCAATTCATAACTCCAATGAGATTGAAGAGGTAACTGATATTGATTATAATAAAATCCCAGTAGTCTATCATATAATTCTTGAATAATATAATCATTTATATTAAGTAGCTTATCTTTGCTACTTGAATTATAACTATTATGAAGCTTTCACGTTAAATAAAGTGAATTGTATATATGAGATTTTCTTGAGAAACCAGTACTATTTGTAATTATTTCAAATGTTTCTTGTTCAAAATTATTAAGTACAATTTGAATAATATGAAGTTCACAGCCAATTTGAATTGTATTTGTATTACCTTTTTTATTAAAAAGAACAATAGTCCCTTTTTTTTGCTAAACATATAGGCTGTATTATCTATTACCTATAATATACATTTAGCAAAATCTAAATCATCTTATTGTATATACTTTATAACAGTATCAGATATAGTATTTGCATTACAGTTAGGAATATCTTTAAGATGAGCTATAGTTACAACTAGTATTTGATCCTTTTAATTCTAAAATTGATAGCATAAAACAAAGTTTTTTGCTTCATCTCGTGTTAATTCATCAACTAAGATTCCAAATAATAAAGCATTAATTGCTTGATGGATTTGAGTATCAATATGTAATTTAGAAATATCTTGATATCAAGTACACAATGTTGATATTGTTAACCAATTTTATGGTAGTTCTCTAACTAGAAATGCATAGATTAACTGCATACATTCTATAGTAGAGTATAATAATACTTGATCAACTTGTGAAATACTAGTTGTAAACCAAATAATATTAGTTGTGTATTCTCGTTTATTTATTTGAAAATAGATTTTAATTACTTATAAAAAGTTGTATCTATGTGATAAACCAATAATCAAATTTTAGATATACAATTTGCATTTTAGTTGCAAAAATGCATATTTTGTATCTCAAAGGATTGTATTTTTCTAATTAAAGTTTGATTTTTCTGATAAAGTTTTTTGCAATTAATCTTTAGATTTGTATTGAATATTTGTAATTCTTGATATGTAGATTTGTTCTTATAAAAAGTTTGAGTAATATACTCATTTGCTTTATTTTAAAAATAGGGAAAGATAATTTTGCTTTTGTTTGGACCTTTAGATATTATATAGTTTTAATAAGATAATTTATTGTAAGGACTATTTTCTCAGATAATTGTTAAACTTAAAAAATTAAATTAATTTATTCTTTGTTTGAT